ACAACTCTTTTCCTAGTGGATACCTTTCATGTGAAACCTCCGCCTCTTGCAGATAATTGCTTGTGGTATCCTCCACTGGTTCTGTGGATTTGACAGATTTGAACAGATGGCGTTTGTTTTGGAATAAAACCATTTTGCTATGTACTTATGTATACAGGATGCCCATGGCTTAGCACAAGGACAGTGCCAGATATTTTTCCTTGAGTTATAGGCCACCATCACTCTCCCAACACGACTATAATATGACGGTTTTTGCTCCAAAACAGAAACACAGTTTCTGGATTGTGCCAGGTCCAATGTTCACAGATACAGCAAGTGGAGCAAAGCCAGCATTCTTAAGTCGTTCTAAACACATATAGGTTTTTTCTTCTTCAAACAAATGTGCAGCCACCATTTCATTCAATGTGTTTTCCTCCATAGTACAATAACTGGAAGGCACAGAACAATAATCCAGTGATCGTAGATGGCAACATCGAAATGTCTGGTGTCCACTTCTACCAGCAACTTCAGAGTAGAGACAACACTCCTCAATCTCACACTCAATATGCTGTTTTGGCCCTTGAATGCTATGCTTGACATGAATAGGAACAGGAGGTCCACGAAAAGCCTTTGTCACTGCATAAATGCCTGATTGTGGGTCTAAAGGTTGACTCTGTAAGTGGTATTCTTTTGTGATGTCTGGGAACTTTGAAGAATGCCTTCTTTGACATATTACAGTGTGGACACTCCACAACCGTTTGGCTTAATTTGTTAACTCTAAAAGGGTGCTGGGTCATATTCTCATAATGAATACTACCAAGCTGGTCCTTCACAAAGGCAGGGCTCGGAGTGGAGACGTTCCCGGGGCTCGACGTGGAGACGCTGCCGGGACTCAATGTGGAGATGCTGACAGAGCAGTACTAAATACGCTGGCAGATAAATGTGTCTTTACAGCCTGGGCAATGGAAATGGGGTGACACCCTGCAGTTTTGGTGGCATTTGTATATTCTGAAACCTACACAGGTGTCACGAATTCGGTTCATGGACTTCAGTTTATTCACCACCAGATGTCACACTTTCCATTACATTGACTCTCGCACTACACAAACTGTTGCATAGCACCCCGGACTACATATCCCATCATTCTTTGCACGATTTGCACACTGCACTGATTGCACACAGCTGTTTCTAATCACCTCACTCACTATATAACACCCACTCTAACCACATTTCTCTGCTGAGTATTGTTTAGTGTTTTTCACTCCCCTAGTGTTAGCTGCCTTACCTAGCCATTCTGCTTCTATTCAAATAAAAGCTTGCAGATGGATCCACACGTCTCACGTCTCGTCAGCCCCGTAACAACAGGGGTTAACAAAAGGTTTTGTAGCACATTGTAAAATAAGATAAGTGTTGTACTTGAGGTGGTAATGATGTTTAAGGCTGACTGTTATCTAAGTCATCATACATGATTCTTTGATACACTGGTAAATGTATATTTGTACAAGAAGCTCTTACCTTTATAGTCCAAAAATACAGTATATTACAATGCACAATTGTATGTGCTTTTACCTGGCACCTGTCAGACAGACAGGACAGTGGAAGCATCCATCCTTATACACTGTAAAATCTAATTAGTTGGGCTTACTTAAAAGAAGCATGCAAACCGATTGCCTTAAAAAAACTAAGTAAAGTGAAATAGGAATAATATGTTAGTTATATAGTAACATGGTTTATGTACATGTTAGTATAGTTTACTTACACGAGAGTTCTAGTAAGTAAAAAAGAACTGTAGGGGTACTTAATCCTTTCATTTAGGTTTACTCATGACTTAGTATAGCTACTCACTGACTCCCAGAGTGCATTGCGGCAGAATAAATTATGCAGTTGCTTTGTTTTACAGTTGTTGTTTTTATTTGCAAATTATTAGCAAATAAAATGGTTATTGTTACAATAAAAATAATTGAAATTGAATTGTTACCATTGTTGTGATTCGTGTGCTGAATGTTTAAGTCTGTGTGTGATTTAAGCATATCACCACACCCTATTTAAGGATTATACAAACCCAATTATAAACTTCTCAAGGTATTTTTGAAAAATAAATTTCGCAAAAGTTCATTGACTAAAACAAGCACAAAAAAATAATACATTATTGATTTAATTAGAAGATAAGTCCCCTTCTATAAGCAACCTATGTATTACTTGTCTTCCCTTAAAACCAAATTATTCTGATTGCATATTGCATTGCTGCATAATAAGATAATTATAGTAACATAAAAGAAGTTCCAAGTGCCCAACCAAAGGGAACGCTAATCACTATAATGGT